ACTGACTGAGCCACCCAGGCACCTCTCAAATATCACCTTTTCAGTTACCTTCCCTGACAACCCTGTCTAAAGGAGCACTAAGTAGGCTCAACCCCTTATCCTGTTTGACTTTTCTCCATAGTCACTTCCCAACTAGGATGTAAGCACCATGAGGGCGGGATTTCATTTTGTTCTCTGGCATATATTTCCAGCACCAGGACCACTGTTGGTACTCAGTAAATATTTGTTGAGTGGCTGAATGAATGAACAAGTAGATGTGTGTATTACCTGTGTTCTCCCTAAAAATGTTTAGCTGCTGAGGTAGAGAGTTTGTCCTTCCTTTTTTCTTTCCCTATATTTCCACGGCCTAGTGACATAAATCAGAGCAGGTTACTTTTGATTGTTGGCTGTATGAATGCATCACGAATGGCCAGTCTGCCCTATTGCCAGACTTTCTAGGATGCCCGGCTGTTCCTCCCATTCACTGCTCTGTTGAATTCAAACATCTTTCCCACTCTTCCACTGATGAAGTTCTTATTAAAGTTGATCTGGTTACTAGAGTCCGTGGACGCTTTTTTTAGACTTTTTATTACTCTGTGGGTCCTCTTGATCCTTGATCCTGCCTCTGTCTCTAGCCTCCCATCTCCACTGACACAGCCCAGATTCAGGCCTCATCGTTTCTCACTTAAGTAACATAGCAAAACCTCCTAAACTGGTCCCTGTATTTCCAGGGTACTTCTCTCCTTTCCCACAGTTGCCAGGATGATCTGTCTAAAAGACAACAACCAACTGTGACATTTATGAAACTGCTGAAAAAATTGAACATGTCTGGATATGTAATAATGTTAAAGAATACATATATGTAAGGTTTATTCATGGGAATGGTACAAAGACTGGGAATGTCATATTTTCTTCAAAATAATACAGGTGTAGGAGGTGGATAAAGGGTGTGGATGCATCCAGATTGGCTATGGGTTAATGGTTGTTGGAGGCTCATTATATTATTCATTCTGCCTTTGTGTGTGTTCAAAATTATCTGGAGTAAAAAGTTAAAGAAAAAAATCCAGGTGTGATCACATCCTTCTGCTTGAAAATCTTTGGTGATTCCTTAGGCTAACGTCCAAACTCCTATGGCACTCCTGGCTTTTCTTATCTGACCCTGACACCAGGTCTAGCCTCTCAGTTCCTATATTCATCTTTTCATACCCTGTGTCTGGCTACATAGTCTGCAATACCCTGAATTCACAGTGCCCTTTCAAGTCTCTGGGCCTTTGTATGTGTTGCTCCGCAGCCCAGAGGGCCTTGCCCTCTCAGCTTTTTGGCTTTCTGTAGCCCTTTCATACTAGGTCAGATATCATCCTCTCTAGAAAGTCTAAAAGCCTCCTCTGGAATGAGTGGAAGCATTCTCCTCATTATTGTAATTGTCTCTCTCCCCCTGCTGGACTCTCAGCTCATTGAAGAAAGGGACAGTCTCACCTATGAGTCCCTGCAAGTACTTGGCACTTGATAAATGCTTGTAGAATCAATGGTTCTTCATCTTTAAATTCCCAGCACCCAGCATGGCACTCAACAATTGTTCATTGACTGAATGTTGTTGAATGTGTTTTTACTTGGTGTAGGAATAGGAAGCTGTGTCCCCCAAAGTATTGAGGTAGGAATGGTGGTTGATAGAACTGGCTGGCAGAGTATGAGGAAGAGCTGGGGACGGAATCATCGGAATTATTTTTTCCCAGCTTTTGTTTCTTCTCTGCAGGCATGGGTTGGAATCGGAGCCTGTACCCCGACCTGACTACAGCTAGCATGATGTGGTTATTAACCGCTCTTCATTCACCTATTGATGCCTCCCAGAAAAAAACGCCGCCAAGGATTCCAGAAAGCCCAGCTGCTATTCCAACAACCACCACTGGAGGGCCCCAAACACCACTATGGATCTGCACAGCTTCCCATCACTCACACTAGACAGGTGGCCAGCAAGCCCATTGACCACAACACCATCACTTCCTGGGTAGGCCATGGGATTCTAACTTTGACTTTTGCTCATTTAGGCTTCTCAGGATGCTGACTCTTCTGCCCCTTGAACCAGGGCCTCCAAAGAATAAGATTTATGGGGCAGGGACAAGGAGGCAATGTACTCTTTTTGTCATCAGCCATCTTCTCTGGTATATATCTTTTCTAAGTTCAAGCTAGGGCTGGTTGGAATTGGAGTCTTTCCCCCCACATTCTTCTTAAACAGTTCAGTATAAAAGTTTCATTAACCAGTAGCTGGGTGAAAAAGCCAGACAAATGGCAGGATGAGTAAACAATGAGATTATTCCCTGAGTTTCATGTGAGAGGTAAAATATTTAGCTAGGCACTATATTCACTGTTTCATAGAAAATGGCATGTCCTATTTTTTGTTTTTAAATATTTGTTTATTTTTGAGAGAGAGAGAGAGAGTATGAGTAGGGGAGGGGCAGAGAGAGAGGGGGACAGAGAATCTGAAGCCGGCACTGTGCTGACAGCAGTGAGCCTGATTGGGGCTCAGACTCACAAACTGTGAAATCCTGTCCTGACCCAAAGTTGGATGCTCAACCGACTGAGCCACCCAGGTGCACCATGGCATGTTGTGTTTTGACAGTTTCGAAGCGCTGGGAAGAGAACAGAACTACTATATTTCAGAGAGGTGGTATAGCCAAGGGCCAGACAAAAGCAAAAATCTCCATGTAAGGGTGCTCGATTAATAAAACTTGTTCAGGATTGCTAGGAAGAACCATAATACTTGCTTCGGAATTGTAGAAGAAACTGAAATGCTAGAATCCTGTGGATGAGAAGAGGAGTGAGCATTTATTGAGAACTCATCACGTGCCAGGTCTTAGGCCGGTTGCTGTCCATATGTGATCTACTCCCGATTCTTGCATCCATCCATTCACTTTCCTGGGGGCCTTCTTGGTGCCAGGCACTCTGCTGGGTGCTGGGAATCAAAGGCGAAGAACACTGCCCGTCTCTGCCCTCAAGGTTTAAAGATAATTAAGCAAATTGCAGCCATGTGGTGTGATAACGTGAAGGTGGCATTGTCCCCTTTCTTACACATGAGGAAATGGAAAACCAGATTGAGTAACTTGCCCACAGCTCCTATCCCTTTCTCTTAATGTCCCATTAGACAGATGTTTTGTTTTGTGTCCATTACTATAATGGGCCCCCATTTAGATTCTGGTCTTTGGATGTAGTTTCCTCCTTCAGGTTCATACCTGGTACCTAGCCCTCCTCACTTCTTTTTGGTTTTTGTTTTTGATTCTTACTTAGGTTTCACCTCAGTTTGATACAACAAGAGAAAGCTGGTTCCCAATGAACCAGAAACACCATCGCCGAAACCAGGCAAGACTTTCAAGTCGAAAATCCATCACCTCCAAGTTTCCACATCTAACATTTGAGAGCCCCCCGTCTTCCAGTTCAGCCACACTTGGGATCCCCTTAACCAGGGAGTGCGCCAATCAGTCAGAAAAGTGCATTTCTGGAAGGCCCTTAGTTCCAGTGCTCAGTCCTCAAAGCTGTGGGGAGCTGTCCACACATACACTTCAAAACTTACCTTACGTGTTCATTCCACCTGATATTCAGACCCCAGAGTCTTCGTTTGTGAAGGAGGGGCCCATTCCCCCAGATCAGAGGGAAGATAGCCTTCCAAGTGGCTCCTTTCACACCAGTACTCCCAAGACCCCAGGGCCTGGGCCTGTTCTAGTTAAAGACACTCCTGAGGAGAAGTATGGGATCAAGGTCACATGGAGGAGACGACGCCACTTGTTTACTTACCTCAGGGAGAGAGGGAAGCTGAATAAAAACCAATTCCTTGTGAAAAGTTCACTGGATTTCTCAGACAGCAGCAATCTCAAGAAATTTTCATAGAGTTGCTAAATTACTTTTCTGGCTCACAGAAGTGTATGTCAGAAGAATAAAATGCAAATACTGCCAGTAACATCAACAGAAAAAAGATAGTTTAACTAGAGACTTGGAGTCATAAGGGAATTTGATTCCCAGCTTTGCTTTTTAAAATGTCTTTTCCTAAAAAGTTTTTAGTGTCATAAACAGTTCACTTCAAATTTTTCTTCTATTAACTGTTTAAAATTTTAAAGTATCTTATAGTAACTGTTTAAAATGTTTGTAAATAAATGGTTGCAGAAAGGTTTTAGAGAACCCTGCTCCTGATTACTGATCATGCAGCAATACTGCCTTCTCCACAAAAGGTCTTCATTGTTTTTTTAAGCCACTAATTAATCCTCTAATCACCCCATTCAACCTAATTCATTGCACATTTTTGAGTACCAACTCTTGTGTCAGGCTCAGCGGCAGCTTCCTTTGTGGCATGGTGGATGGAAAAATCAAAGCAACCTTTTTAGAGCTGAGCAACCTTTTTAGACCTCTGCAACCTTGCTCATCTGCTAAAAAGTCAGGATGAGGAAAGGTGCCAAGCCCTGTGTTAGTGAATACAGTGGGATCAGGGGCAAAAAAAGGGGACAGAGATGTTACTTAAGCTTGCTGTGTTTTGGTTATATTTCCATTCAAACAAATCTGAAAATACCACACAGGGTGGGAAAATGATTTCTTGTAATGATTGTTTAAAATATGTAATTAAATATGGAAACTTTTCAGAGAAGACTGCTTACCATAACTAATGCGAAACTACCCAGTCAAAAACTGCCTCCATTGCCCTTTTGCCAACACAGATAGCGTCTCCTTCAACTGCAGCCATTCAGCTTTAAGAACCTACTCTGTTCAGCCCGAGCTAAACAAGCAGGGATTATTTCGTTTTATTTTATAGATGGGGATCTGAAGCCAAGATAATGAACTGTGTTTAGGGTCACACAGTGAGTGGAAGCTGACACATCAAGGCGATGCTCTGCTCTCCCGGCTTGTGCCAAGTCCTGTGCCTCTTAAGCGAACCCGATGTGGAAACCGCTGACCTCGCAATGCTATAAAATGCGATAACTTTTGCCAGGATATTTTGTAGAGGCTATAATGATATGTATAAGTTGGTGGTGAGAAGGAGGTGACGGTTGGCGACAACGTTTATTGGAAACGAGAGTACATATTTAGATAGCGGATCTCACGGGATGTGAATGTTTGAAGATCGTTCATAGGCTGTAGAGAAAGATAAATGGGAAAGGTTCCTAGAGTCTGTAGAGTCGGTCTAGCAATGCTCTAAAAGTTTGGGCTGGAGGAAGGGGGGCTGAAGTTTTGTTCAATTGGAGTGAGAGACCAGGTAACTATGAAAGATGCATTTACCCGGGAATGACTGCCGTAGTGGGTACAAGTGTTCCCGGAAGGCTCTGGTGTCAGGGAGGGGCCGGACTGTGACGGAGTCGGCGGAGGTCTATGAGTCCTAACATTACATAGACCTCTGGAAGCGCTCTGGGTGGTCTTTGAGTAGACACTGCTGGGATGTGGGGAAGCCGCTCCGTGGGTGGCGGTTAGGGGGATGGGCCGCTCCTCCGACGAAGTGACTTAGCAGCTGGAAGCCAACACTGCTGAAGCGAACACATCCCTCCGCCCTCGGCCCCTTCCCGGTGCCGCGGTCCATGGACCCAGCCCTACTGGCGCGTCACCAGAGCTCCCGCGCAGGCGTCTTTATCTCCTAGCGCCTCCGCCCCTTAGAAACCCTCCCGCATCTTGGGGCGGCAGCAATAGCCAATGAGAGAAGAGCGGTGGACACGAGGGCCAATAGGCGGTGGCGACAGTGCAGAGTGTGGTTGCCAGGGGGCGGGGCCTGGATGCCTGCCAGGCTTGCCACCCTAGCAGCAGAGTCGGGGATTGTGGACGTGGTCGCCACTTCCTGAGCTGCGGGGATGGAGGCGTCGCGCTGCCGACTCGGACCCCGCGGGGACAGGTCCGAGAGGGGTGGTGGCTGGTTTCGTCTCGAGCGGGGCGGAAGAATGGAGTGAGACTGTGGCGCTCCTCTCTAGGAGCTCTGAAGAGAGAAGGCGGTGGGCTTGGGTTGGGGAGGTAGGGACAGATTTGGCGGCAGGAGGCGAATCCCCTATCCCCTACTCGACGGTGGAGGATCCCCTTTTTATCGGTGGGCGGTAGGAGGCAGCGGTTCTGCAGCCGGTACTGAGAGCAAAGACTTTGTGTTCTGGTCTTGGGAAACTCTTGGAGTTTTGGTTACGAGCTCGCCTTGCTCTCTGTGGGCCTCGCTTACTCAAAATGTTCGGTATTATTGCTTCTCACGCACTGCCGAGCAGTGTCATCATAATTGAAGTGGATGAAGTCTTTTCTCGGGGTGTCGCAGGGGAAGGCTGTGGGTGATATTTAATCATTTGCTCTAATGCCATTGTTTTTGGCAGGCGGTGCTGAATTCTAGAACAGAGTCCGAGAACTGAAAGTGCAAAACTGTTCTTTAGCTTCTATCTATCTGCTTTACAGTAATTCTTATTTAGGATTGTTCGTCTTATTTGTTATCTACCATACCCCTTGTTTGTGCTTCTTTTTCTCTGCGGTGCCCTTTTTTCCTGCCTCCGCCAGAGGGAGAGCCTGGGAAATAACAACAATCTGAAATCTCAGTCTGTCAATTTCTTGTTAGCTAGGTTAATGAAAAGTTAACAGGGAGCGGCATGAAATCATTGGCTTCAAACTTTGGTATTGTCTGAGGATTGAAATCATACACGCCAACTGTATTCCCTGCTTTTTATTCCATTACCAAAGCAAATAAAGATGTAGCGTGTAATGATTTAGTCTGCTGTTTAGATTAGTAGATATTTAAGCAATTCTAAATCATTTAAAAAGTCACGAAGGAGGCGTTGGGGATAGAGAACGCCCATTTTCTTCTTTTATCTTTTTATTTACGTGATAGCTGCTCTCTGAGAAATTTCTTTGCTACGCTTTCTTTTTTTCAAGATGAGAGAAAAATAACCCACGTTTTCCGACATAAATATGGAAGTGCTAGGAGGAGGTAGAGCTAAAAATCAGCGTCTTCGTCGAATTCAGATGGTATTTGTTCACTTGTGGGCATTCAATAAATTAATTAAATGAATTTACGGAAGTAAATTTCATGGGTACCAGATGTTGATATATGACTCATGATTTTGGGGGGGAAAAAGGAATTGACTTAGAAACCGAGACCATGAGGCAAAATGGTTTTTAATTTATTGGACCTGAAGTTTAAAGGGATAATTTTAAAGTTTCCCTCCTTTTTCTTCCCAAAGAAAACAGCTCTTTAATTTAAAAGCAGACATCAAAGGAGAGTGAGTCACCAAATGTGTCTCCTGCCCTAGGTAATTTTAAGTGCAGTTTCTATCACTACTTAACTCAGTTGTTGCTGAGAGGGAGTGGAACATCTCTTCTATTTTGGCTTCAGGTTGTGTGTTTAATGGTTTCAATGAGTTTTTGGTATTAATACATTTCAGTGTGAAGTATAACATCTGACTTTTAAGTTTCCTGTGTTTTTTTTTTTCTTTGAATTATGTGACTGTTTTCCCATGAAACATTTCTTTTTTTTTTTCTAATTTTTTTTAATGTTCATTTATTTTTGAAAAGAGAGAGAGACACACAGTGTGAGCAGGGGAGGAGCAGAGAGACAGGGAGACACAGAATCTGAAGCACGCTCCAGGCTCCAAGCTGTTAGCACAGAGCCCAATGCAGGGCTGGAACCCACGAGCTGTGAGATCATGACCTGAGCTGAAGTTGGATGCCCAACTAACCAAGCCACCCAGGCCCCCCCCCCTCTTTTATTTTTAAAATTTTTTAAAGATTTCTTTTCAACAAAATGGAAAAATTACTAACCCCAAATATTTCCTATTTCTGAAATATTTAGTGAAAATTGGAGATGGGATTTGAAACAAAACTCAGGACCTTTGGTGCAGCTAGGCATTTTATAGTCTAGATTCCTTGGAGATGCTTGTGGTTGGTTGGTGCTAGAACTTGAGCTCTTTCTGGCCTTTTATTCCTGATAGATAATTGAAGGTATGGCGAGAGATTTCTTGGTGTGATGTGACCTTGCTGCCCTGTTGATTTAGAAAGTCATCTGTGGTTTATCCACACGCCATGCTTTCTCTTTAGAAATATGAACAGTAGTAGCTGGAGGTTATGTATCATCCAGGCTTGGTATCCTCTCTCATGTTCTTTCTTTTTTAAATGTTTCATCGGATCAACTACTTGTTGACAAATAAAGAGACTTACTCAGGGCTTAAAGATACTCAGATTATCTAATACAGGACTGCAGTATGTTTGGTAAATATTAAAAGCTCCCAATATCAATCATGAATGTATTTTTCCAAATGTGAAAGCTAAATACAGACTTAGAAAGGAGAGAATAATCCCTGTAGTAAATTCTCTTTTTTCTAAGATCCTTCTGTTCCAAGCAGACAATTCAGACAGTTTTTGGAATAGTTTTTATTTCTGATTTCTCTTATTTTTTCCTATGGAAACTCTGCTGTTTTCCCTGCATTTGTGCCTGCTGAAAGAAAATGGTAACGTTTCTGCTTACTAAGGGGAAAAGTATGCTTGAAATTACTCAGAGGAGGAGTTGAAGTTGCTTGCTTGAGGATTTTAGGACTAGAAGGGGACTTGATAATTCCCCTAGATCTCCTGTTTGAGAATAGTGGAATTATTATGGCTTCTTTAAAACTAGAATTTCTTGCAGTCTGCTTTTGCTTTATTTTCTCTGAATCAATTCACTAGAAATAAGCTCTTTGTTCTACTGAATCTGTTCTGCCTCATCAGACATCCTTACTGTTAGTAATAATGAAAGCTGCAAAATTTTCCTGGCCTGGTTACAACTTAAATCCACTTATGCTTGAGAAAAGACGCCCTATCCACATGCCGATTGATGTGCTGTCTTTATTCACTTACTTTAATACCTGGTATGAGGCTTGATAATGAAGATCGCCATCTCTGTCTCTGCCTTAGAACTTCTGTGAAAACATGAATGATGAGCATTGTGTCATATGCGTCACCAGAACCCCCTGGAAGACCACAGTTCTGAAGAGGGTTAGAGTAATGCTTTTATTTTTTATAAGATGGCATTTGCTGTTTGACCGCATGGTATTGTGGGAGGCACTGGAAACTTCCTCTGTGTTCCTGAGTTCTAATCCCAGCCTTTTCCCTCTCTAGCAGTGTGATGTTGAGCCGCACATCTCCTTCTTTGGCTTCAGTTTTCTCCTCTGGAAAATGAGGGCTTCCTTGGATGCCCTAAGTGATTTATAACGAATTAATAAATAGCAAATATATATATATTTAACAGCACATGGCTCAAATTTCAAAAGGTACAAAATGATTTTCAGTGAAAAATGTGTCTTTTCTTATTGTCTTCATGTCACCTAGTTCATTGATGGGCGTCTTATGGGACCTTTCAAAGATATTATATTAAAAAATCTTCAAATATTCTTTCCCCACTGCTAATACTGGATGATTTTGAGTTTTAGGGTAAAATATAATTAACTAAACTCAGATTTCTACTTTCATCATGGGCAAGATGTATTTTTAGAATATGAACTATAGCAGGGCACCTGGGTGGCTCAGTCGGTTAAGCATCTGATTCTTGATTTCAGCTCAGGTCATGATCTCACAGTTTGTGGGATTGAGCCCCGAGTTGGTGGAGCCTGCTTGGAATTCTCTCTCCCTCTCTCTCTGCCCCTCCCCTGCTTGCACACACACACACACACACACTCTCTCTCTCTCTCAAAATAAATAAATGAAAGCACTAAAATAAAATTTTAAAAAATGACCACATTAAAAAAAAAAGAATATGAACTATATAGTTACTGCAAGTTTTAATTTTTTTCCTGTAGTAATTAAAGTATGGAAAATAGAACTGTAAGAAGCAAACAAAGATTATTTTTCAGTCTTCAGGAAGAATAAATCATTGCTATTCAGCTTTTCAGGAAGAAACTTCAATAAATCTGCAGTTTGCCTTTGATTTTAGGTTTTAGAATGAAACAAATTTATTATTTTTTTTAACGTTTATTTATTTTTGGGACAGAGAGAGACAGAGCATGAACGGGGGAGGGGCAGAGAGAGAGGGAGACACAGAATCGGAAACAGGCTCCAGACTCTGAGCCATCAGCCCAGAGCCCGACGCAGGGCTCGAACTCACGGACTGAGAGATCGTGACCTGGCTGAAGTCGGACGCTTAACCGACTGCGCCACCCAGGTGCCCCAGAATGAAACAAATTTAATAGAGGATTGACCTGTTTCCTTATTCTAACAGTTTAATTTTGTTACAGCAATGCCATATGAGCCAGAGACAAAGTAGAAAAGAGTGTTTTGGCTGAGTAAAGTTCTTAAGCTGTGCATTAAGGGAAGATCTGTCAAGATAAAATTATCAGTAATAAGGGCTTACATTTGGGTAGCTTTTGCAGCCTTCATAGTGTTTCACTCATTTGATCTCTTTTGAGCTTCATAGCCCTGAAGAAAGCAGGGCTGTCGTTGTTATCTTCATTTTATAGATGGGGAAGTTTAGGCTCAGAAAGGATGTGATGTACCTAAGGTCACATGACCAGTAAATGATGTAGTCAAAGGTAAAATTCAGAAGTAAAATCCAGGCTTTTGATTTCTTCTTCTTTTTTTTTTAATATTTTAATTTATGTTTGAGAGAGAGCAAGCATGGAAGGGACAGAGAGAGGGGGAGAAAGGATCAGAAGCAGGCTCTGTGCTGACAGCAGCAAGCCTGATGCAGGGCTGGAACCCATGAACTGTGAGGTCATGACTTGAGCTGAAGTCAGCCACTCAATCTGAGCCACCCAGGTGCCCCTGAGGGAAGTCTCCTCTTCCCTCCCCACCCTCCACCCCCCACCACTTTTCAAAATATCTATTCCAAATATTCTGGATGCCATTTTTACATATAAATGATAACAACAGATACTGATTACATTCTGATTATTTTTAGGATGA